GACCTGGCCCGCAATCCGGGCACGTGCCCTGGCTGGGTATTGAACCTGTGACCCTTTGGTTTACAGGCCAGCACTCAATCCACTGAGCCACAGCAGCCAGGTTATTTTCTAACCATTTTAAGTGTTATTCAGTGACATTAAGTATGTTCACACTGTTAGGCAACCATTACCTCCATCCATCTCCAGAACTTTTGCATTGTCCCAAATTGAAAGTCTGCGCTAAGGAGTACCTCCCCCTTCCTCTGTCTTCCAGCCCCTGGTAACTACTCTTCTGCTTTCTGGCTCCACGAATTTGACTACTCCAAGTACTTCATATACCTGAGTAGAATCATACACTATGTTAGCCCTTTTGTGATCGGCTTATTTTATCTAGCGTAGTATCTTCAAGGTTCATCCCTACGATAGCTTGTGTCAGACCTTCATTCCTTTTTAAGATTGAGAATAATATTCCATTGTATGTTATGCATCATGTTTTGTTTATCCCTTTATCTGTCAATGTGCATTTGGGTTATTTCCACCTTGTGGCTTATTATGAATAATGCTGCTATGAACATGGATGTCCAAATAACTGAGTCCCTCCTTTGAGTTCTTCGGATGAATGGCTAAATCAAAGGGTAAATTCTATGTTTAATTTTTTGAAGATTCACTAGACAGTGTTCCACAGCAGCTACAGCATTTCACATTCCCACCAGCAATGCAGTGTTCAGATTTCTGAGGAAGAGATGGTGCCTTCAAAATGGCATCTCAAAACATTTGCAGGGAAATATTTCCCTGTTATATTTAAAAGTGGTATTTATGAAACCCATTTGGGTTTTCAACTCTTCGTTTTGAAGTGCTCAACATCAGCAGCATTAACAGGAGAGCAACAGCATGTCAGGTGTGGACCGCAAGCACCTGGAACGTCGGTTCCAGGACCAGGAAGGCAGGGAGTGGCCGGAAGATCAGGCAAGCTTGCCGACCGGTGAGCTGCAGGGCCCATGAAATGGGGGAGGAAACTTTTGAGAAAACAAGGAGGACATTGATGAGAATGGAAAAGAGAAAACCAACTGGGGCACCTTTTACATGATGGGCCAGGAAGCGACAGTCACAGCTTGTAAGAGGTCATTTGAAAGTTGCTTGATACGGGAATGCTAGGGCCCTGAAATTTCAGGAAGAGCAAAGCAAAGGCTGACAGAAATGGTTTTAAACAAACAAACGCGAGCACAGAAACCTAAATCAACTGCTGGGTTTGCAGGCGAGGAGGGAGCAGTGAGGGAGGATTAAAATGTTTGTGTGAAGAAGGCGGCTACATGTGCAGAAAGTCAAAACGCCATAATCTGCCTCATGTTTATAGATACCTTACATCTTGAATGCTAGGTATTTACTAGCAGGGAAAAGTTTCCTTCTGATTTAAAGGCATGATCATGGATAAAGAGGAGATTGCTGGTTCATTTGGTAGCTGAATAAATGTTTCTTAGATGTCTACTAAGTGCCAGGTTCTGGACTTGGGGGCCTGGGGATCGTGGAGGGGAATGAAACATGGAGTCTATGTCTGGAAGCTTGCAGTTGTGGTGGGCAGGCAGAGAGACCAGTTAGGTAGACACCCTCAATACAGTGAGGGGGTTACGCTCCAGGACACTGTGTGCATGGAGGGACCACAGCCTGGGGGTTCAGTGACCCCTGAAAGGCATTCTGAAGAAGAGGTCTGAACTGACATGTGGGCTGATGAAGAGTTAGCTTTCCAGAGAAGACAGTAGGATTCAGGTGGAGTAGAACTTCCTTCTAGGAGGAAGGATGTATTAGAGTCTGATTTGTGGGGAGGTGACAGGAAAGGAGGACAGGGAGCCATCAGTAGCTCAGTGGTGTTGCTAAGCTGTGAATCCCAAGACACGAAGAAGCCACGGACCATGCCAGAGAGAAAGCTCAACGCTATTCATTTTTCTTTTCCTCATTAATGTCTAAATCCATCCCATGTTAATCCCCCATCTCCCTACATGAGCACACTTTTTTAGTAATCATAGTTTTAGCGTGTGAAATTGAGTGTTCCTTGTAAGTAGGCTGTTCTTTGGAGTCGGGGAAGCTGATCGATATTCACAGTAATTAGCCTCATGCTCTCGTAGGTTTTGTTCCCTTTCTACAAAACCTACGAGAACATGAGGCTAATTGGGCATTGTGAGTGGTTCTCCTGCATCCATTTAGTTCCTGGCTTGTTGAGTAGCAGCATTGTAGTTTGGGGAACTGACTTGAACTGAAGGTCAGCTGGCTTAAGAGTAACCCTATTTTTGCTGCTAAGGTTTTAGTTCACTAATGGGCATGTGATTCACTGTGGCCTAAGGAGAAAAGAAGAAAGTTTCAAGGAAAGAATGGCCAACCAAGCTGCTTCTATTGCCGGAGGAGAACCAGAAGCTTGTAGCTCTATGTGCCATGAGGGAACCTAGGCTTAGGATAAAGGTGATGTATGGATAGCAGAATGGAGAGATTTAAAAATAAACTTCACCATTCCTAATGACTCCTTTGAACTGGGAAATGAACTAACTCTCTGAGCTGCTACTATTACTGGGCTTCCTGCCCCAAAAGCTAATACATTTTCTTACCATTTAATATATTTTGGATTTGTTCTTCTGAAACTTGAAATCCTGTGTGCCCTAAATGATATGTAATCTATGTAACCTGCAGCAGATGCCTGTATGATTTTTTTGTGGCTAAGTCTTTGAGCCTCATTTTTTGTCTCTGTGAAATGAATGTAATTATTTCTCACAATTTTTCACAAAGATTATTTAAAATCCAGCACAAAGCCTGAGGGAAGAGCCATGCACTAATGTATGTTGAGTACCTACTATGTACCATAAAATAGGCCAGTCCTTGGTTTAGGGAAGGTTAGGAACTAGAAGAGAAATTTACAGATAATTCCATATAAAATGGTATAAAGTCACACACTCAAGCACCATTGTGCAGTTAGTTTCAGATCATTCAACACTTGTTGAATACGTGCTGTGCCGGGCACGTGACCTAACATGGAATGGGAGCAGGGATGGGGCTGAGACTGGGGATTAAGGGAAAGCATATCTGAAGAAGAGGCATTTAAGCCAACACATGAAGGATGAGTGGGAATTACGTGAGGGGCGGGAAAGATCATGTCAGGGGAAAAAAAATGTGCATAGTCTAGGAGATATGAAAAAACTTGGTATATTTAATGAAATGTGTGGTCCAAGTGGAGCGAATGGGGATTAACAGGGTGGGAGATGAAGCTGGGAAGGTAAAAAGGGGACAGGTAATGCAGGGCCTGGTGGCCTTGTGTGAAAGATGTTCTCATATTCCGGGTATAAAAGGGAGCCATTAGGAAGATTGAAGCAGAATGTTCTCATGACCTCGGCTATATGTTTTTTTCAGTGGGATTTTAGGGACCAAGGGAGCAAGAGCAGCGGGGCTAGAGAACTGGGTGGATTTGAGCAGAATTTTGGGTGCAGAGCTTCCTGGATTTGGTAGTAGATGGAGGGATGTGAATCATGGAGAGAGTGATGTCACGGATGACTGTGGAGTTTCTGTGTGAGTAACTGGAGAAGACTGGAAAGGGAAATATTTTTTTTTTTCATAAGAAAACCAAGGTTCAAGTTTGAACATGTTAAGGTTAAGCTATCTGTGATGCATTGAAACTGGGATGTTGAGTAACAGTTTTACTTCTGTGTGAACCTCGTGAGTGAGGACTTTCCTGGCTGGAGTTGAAATGTGAGGGCCACCTGCAGGTTGATTGTATCAGAAAGGATGGGAATAGGTGGTACCTGTTAAGGAGGGAGGAGGGGGGAAGAGGAATCCTTAGCTCGCTGTTTCTGGGAAGCCTTCTCTTGCCTCTCAGGTGTGAATGTTCAGAAGCCTGGCAAAGAGAAAAGGAAACCCAGACCTGGATGTGGCGCTGAGTAAAGGGAAGAATTTTTTAGAATCATGGAAGTTAGTTGAAGGGGAAGAACGATGAGAAAAGAGAAAAATGAGGGTGTTGGCTAAGAGGAGTTTGTCAGCACAGTAGAGTCCTGAAGGAGACGGGAGGTGATTTAAGGTCCTGGCTTAAAATCCTCTGAGGCCAAAGGGAAGGAAATAGGATGGGAGTTTAATGTTGAAGGGTTGGGGACACAGGGAAGTGAGATAATTTCCTATAGAAACCTCAAAACACACATGTCATGTGTATGTACATACACACCCACAACCCCTCACACACCCTTCGTGGTTCATGAGGGTCATCTCAGTAGAACGTATGATCCCTGTAACATTCACTGCTATTTCTTTGATAATACTGGGTACATAGGAGGGACTCTATAAGGATTTATTGAATAAATGTGCCCAGAAATCGGGCTTCAGATTTTACTTGCAGTGATACCCGTATTAGAGGATGTGGAGAGTAAGAAAGGAAAAATCAGAAGCCACAAGACTTGACCCTCGTGCGCCTTCCACTCTGCTCTTTCTTGTTGTCCATAACTCATTAAAAACATCGCCAGTTCTTTTATCTTTAATCTGCTTATTCTCTTGGACTGTGGGCTCTTTGAAGGTAATATCTCTCATATATCCTGCATCCATGTTCCCAGAATCACAGGATGACATACAATAAGTGCTCAGTAAATATTTCTTGAATGAATGCAAGAGAGTGGACTGGTGTGGATGCTTCAGTGTGAACACAGAAGCATCCAGAGTGGGGACAGATGAACCCTTTTCCAGATGGAGGCAGGGGTATCAGCTAAACTGGAGGGGCTGATCATTGCACACATGGGAGGCACTAACGAAGTTGCCTGCTTTGGTCTCCTCATGTGCAGTGTGATGGTTAGTAACTTGCTCAAGGTCAAACAACCTGGAACCGATGGTTTCTGGATTTGCACTCCTTCCTCGCCAAATTCTTTGCTGTAGTCACCAAACCACCTCTTAACTGGCTGAAGCCTTGTTTCTACCCACTTAGGCCAGATGAACTATTGTCTGCCCTGGACGCCTTCTTCGAATGATTTGTTTTCTGAGTTATATTTTTTTCCCCTCTTGCCTAGCTCTCCACTGCGGTTTGAATCCACGGGCTATTGATCACCCTGCCCGTGCTGAAGGCATTAAACTGCAAATTGAAGGTGAAGGTGTTGAGTCTCAATCCATTAAAAACAAAAACTTCCAGAAGGTGCTTGACCAAAAAGGAACCCCCAAGCGACTGCAGGCAGAACCTGAGACAGCTAAGGTAGGTAATAATCCAATACCTTCAGGAGACTCTGAAAATACAGCCTTGATACTTTGTGGTCCGGCCACAGAGAAGAGCTGATGGTGCTTTCACCAATTACCGTTGTCTCTTCAGTTTAACGAACACTGCTTCTTGATTATAGGTAATAATAAATGAGAATATTGACTACCTCCCCTTTGGGGTGAAATCGAATCCCATTTGTGGTCAGTCTCCAAGCATGAGGTTCTGAGTATGGTACGGAATGGGTTAGAGTGAAGAATGCCTTGAACTGAAGGCTGAAAGGTTTGTTTGCCAGGCTCAGACTTATCATTTTATGATTTTGGGCAAGTCATGTGACTTTCCAAGCCTCAGATTCTTCATCTATAGAGTGTGCATCATAAAAGCGACCTCCCTCATCCGGCTGAGCAGATGAAATGATACCATGCATCTGGAAGTATTTTGTAAAAGGCCCAGTAGACTGCATGGGTCTTGAGGGATTTTGCTGACAAACACTGTTAATAATAACAACTGACATTTTATTAAATATATCCATATATTGCAGGTGTTTTTGAAGGACTCTTGATGTTCTTGCTTATTGTATCTCTGTAACAATTCTCTGAGATAAACCATAGCAAACAGTAAACAGTACCCTAATTAATAAGAGACACAATTGTTCTAGTTTACTGGATACTTTGTCCTTTCTTCTAGTCTTTAGCCTGAGAGTAGGTGCAAAACACACATTGGTAAACTGGGTGTTACAGGGTAAGTGACTAGCAAAGCTTTTTCAAAAGACTTTCCACAAGGAAACTGGCATGATCTGGGCTTTTGTCAGAAATAAGTGAAGATGCTTATGTTGAGGTCACAGTGTTGAAGATATTCATATTAGTTCCCCTTAGAAATGGAGAGAACTCATCATCAGGTGGTATTTGGTTTCTCCCTTGTGCGTTCCCTGCAAAGGAATTTCCTTTCAAATTTCTGAGTAAAGATATGTGTGGCTTGGAAAGCAAATGTCGCAGTTGCCCAAGAAAAACCTTAAGTACAGACAAACCTTGAAGGTATCTTGCCTTAGGTCTGACCACTGTAATAAAGCGAGTCAAAATCTTTTTACTGGTGGAGGATCTTGCCTTCAATTTGTGTAAAAAAAAAAAAAAAAAAGTGTAAAGAGCAATAAAATAATACAACGATTAAAATGAGATATGCCTGTAGAAACTGCTGTGATACAGTGATCACTCTCTCTCCATGAAAAAAAAACTTCCAAAGTCAAATGTGAATTTTTTTGTTTTATCTCCAGTTTTGAGAGTTTTGAATAATTACCATTGTTGCTTCTCTTTTTTAGTGTGGATAATTAAGACCTGATGGCATTCAGTGTGTGTGTGTATGAATAGTAGTAGCAGTAGTAGCAGTAGTCGGTGGGGAATGGGGAATGGGGCATGATTATCAAGGAAGCTGTTGCCGTTATTCTGCACCAGACTTTTTAGCAAAGAGAAACTGTACCTCGTAGGAAATGGGTTGGTGATCCCGGAAGTTTGGTTTGTGAGCTGAGTTGGAAATAAGTGCCTCCTATTTTGACATCCCAACCTCATCCATCTCTGATTCCACACGGGCATCTTGAAAGAGTGAGCGGGGAAAAATGTCTTAATGATCTTTAACTAGGAAGACACAGTTTTGAGTAGACGCTTTTAAATGTGATGCTTAAAATATTAAAAATGAGAGTGAAGAAAAAGAAAGCAAATGATTAGTTAGCTGATTTTCATTCAAATGTAAACATTTCCACATTATCTCTTTTATTTGTCCCCGCAGCAGCCACTACTTGTATTGGTATTATAAGAAGTGTGATTCAAATCTGATAGGATTTGATTATTTCTGAATTCCTGAGACTTGGTGATACTGTGTTGAAGCCGAACATCCACATTGGTAGCATTGCTTTTGCTCGCCTCTAGGCCACTTTGTACCTGCTTTGCTGCACACCTGCTTCGCTGAGAGTGTAGCTGTCTGTGACAAACATTTCCTCAGGAATAGGCCACATCCTGGAAACCAGATTCCTCTGAGCTCGTCCAGATCCTCTGTAATGAAACCCCCAAACAGATGGGGTTGCGGGGGGGATTCTGAGTGTTTTCACATCGGCATCATATTTGGGAGTGAACAGCCTAAAAGCTTAAAAGCTTAGACAGGCTATTGATTTAGTCATATTTTCATGGAGGACTGGATGGTAGCAGTGGTTGCTGTGAGGACAGAATTGAAAGCAGGTAGCCTGGCGTCATCCCTGCAGACCCGCTGCATCCCATCCCGTGAAGTCTCTGAACCCCGACAACGTGAATGAGTTTTATGCATGAGCAGACACATTTACATATTCTCTTCGGTTGCATTTAGAGGGTTATTGGAGGTGTGAGTCATCCTTTTTTTGTTTTCTTTTTCCTTAGGTAAATAATTGAATCTCTTATAACTTGACATACTCTGAACTTACCTTAAAAAATAAAAGCCCCCTGGCGAGGGATGCATTGCAGGGGAGGCCGCTCAGCGATGTCCGCTGGTGCAGCTTTTTTGAAAGACAGTCTGATAGCAGTTACCAGTATTTTAAGTGTGTGTAATTTCTGAGCCATTCATTTCCTCGGTAGGAATTTGTCTTGAGGGACCTGTCAGCCAGCTGTGCGAGGATGGCTGCAGGAGAGCGGCCCCTCTGGCGCTGTTGGTACCGTGAACGCCCGGGAGACGCCTGGGCACCCTCCGCTCGGGCAGAGGGGCAGTGTGCGATCCTGCAGTGGAAAAGACCATTTTCCTCACAGGGGTGGCGGAGGCCTGTGTGCATTTACCCTCGTCCCTTTGAGCTTCTGTAAGAAAATCCATTGACTGGATGGCTTATTAACAAAATGTATTTTGCGCAGTAGTGGGGGCTGGGAAGTCGAAGGTCAAGGCTGCCTGATTCAGCGTCCGATGAAGGCCCACTTCCCCGTTACTAGATGGCTGTTACCTCACTGTGTCCTTTCATGGTGGAAAGGGACATAGAGCCCTTGGGGGTCTCTTTTGTAAGGGCACGAATCCCGTTCAGGAGGGCTCCACCCTCATAAGCACCTACCAAAGGCCCTGCCTCCCAATACCATCACATTGGTGGTTGGGTTTCAACACACATTTTAGGGGAACACAGACCTTCACTATATAATGGTATCTAGGTGGGAAAATGAGATGATATTTTAAAGTAGCTGGGGGAAGAGAAGGTCAGGTTACTGCACAGCATGTATAGCGTGTTCCTACTGATGTGCAAAGGTCTTGCACTGGGTAAGGGTGTCACTGAGTCTAGAAGAGTGTACACCACAATTTGAGCGGCAGTTGATATCTGGAGTTGAGATTATGGAGAGAACTTTCTCTTTCTCCACTCCCGTTTTGTTTGATTTTTTTTTTTTAAAGTATGCATTCTTATATTTATTTCAAAGCCTTTTACAGATTGCCCTATTAATCCTAGAGCGTCAGGGTGGGTGTGTAGCATGAGCTTAATCTATCATCTTGATCCTGAAATTTGTATTTCTTTCATCATTTAAAAATATATCTTCTCTCTCTCTACCTATACAGGGTGGGGCGAAAATAGCTTTACAGTAGGTATTATATGGAAAATAATACAAAAATTAGTAAATAATAATACAAGAATAAACTCTGTGTTTTGCATTCTCACAAGTGTAAACCTATTTTTGCCCTACCTTGTATATCTATTCTGGGAAAATCACCCTTTTTGCTTCTCTCTTAGGATGTAGTTTTGGGACCCTTGGCTCCAATTCCTCAAAAAACTAGAGCCCTAACAGAAGGAGGCTGCCTGGGCCACCAGTTGCCTCCAGCTCTTACAGACCACAGGCAAAGTGGTGGAGAACCAAGCTCACTTTTAAGCCTTATTATTGGGCAGCATTCAGTCTAGATGAAAAAATAAAATGGATCCAATTTAAATGTTGATCTGAAAAAAGATAATTACCAATGTAAGTCCGAAAAGTCTATGAGCACTTGGGAATCCAGAGTGTGTGTGCCAGTTCCCAAGTTCAAGAGGTAAAATTGTGGTAACAGAGCTTTACGGGCAGATACAAGGCAAGAGAGATAGGAGGTATAGCATCTTCATCTCATTGGGAGGCACAGGAGTTTGAAGGTACACAGCTTTTTTTTGCCTGCTCTCCCACACTGGAACATGTACAACTGCCCCAGATGAGAGCCAAGGCAGGAATGAGCCTGCTGGACACAGAGAAGGCACAGCCTCTGTCCCCACCAGTCTCTTTTTATCATTCTAGTCACGGAGGCCTAAGACCAACTCACAGCTCTTGAAGACCAGGTGTAGTTCCATAGTTCCGCACAGCAGTTTCCAAAGAAACAGCCATAGGAGAGACTGAGGCCCTTCCTGTGTGGGCCTGGGCATGAGGTTACTTAGTCCTTTGCTCACAGGGCTGTAGGGATGGGGCTTCCGGAGGTCGAACCCGACATGCATTATGAAATATGGGTAAAATTCAAATACACAGTAAGAAGAATGGAAGGTGCCCTTAGCGATGAAGTCTAAGCACCTTGAGCCAAGATATGGCAGCGGACATCCTCAGGTGTGCTCAGCAGCCGTCTCCTTTGAGTTGAGGCTTGTGCTGTAGGAACAGGTTGAAACAGTGTGTTGGGGTCACGTTGTATGGGATGTGAAAACTGGAATGAGGAACATGGATCTCTTTCCTTCCTGCACTGTTCAACATGGTAGCCAACAGCCATATGTGGCTTTTTGCTTTTATTAAAATAGAATAAAATAAACAAATGAATATCCTTGGTCATCAGTTGCTACTTGTGTCTAGGGTCTACTGTTTTGGAGAGCAGAGACATAGAACATCACAGAAAGTTCTGGACAGTGCTGCTTTGATCTGTGGGAAGCCATTGAAGTTCTCTAGCATGGGAGCAAGATGAAAAAAGGGAAATGCTGTTGTGCTAACATTCTCTCTGACCCTTGGCCCTGGCCTTGGTGGACATGTGCTTCAGTCACAAGAAAAATGTCAAAGTAAGAGTCTGCTTTGAGGGCG